GGCGCAAGATTCCGCCCTAAGTCTAGCTGGCGACAATCTAGGCAAGCTTCGGCGCAATTCTAATTCTTGAGTCAGCGGCCTTCCTTGGTAGGCCACTGCTCGCTTTTCAGTAGGCCATTGTTTGGAAGCTTCTAAGATTGATTGAATTTAAGCTTTCAGGCATTTTTGTACTTACAGATGTAGTACATATAGTAAGAGTACGGTAAAATAGCATTTCCCCAGAGCAAATCTCGTACATTACATCTGTAATTAAACAAATTTTCATTTTAAACTTTTCCATTTCACAATTTCCATGAAAATAATTTCATGCAATTGTAATGGGAAATGAAATTAAAGTGGCTGAAATTCTCCACAAAGCTTGATATTTTAGACGTAAACGTAAATCCTAGAATAGCAAAAACTTGTTGGGGAAAGTGTTTACGTGCTCACAAGGCTTTTGATCTTTTGATTTGTTTGATTTGTGAGTTAAGATCGTCTTGTAAACTTTTACCTTTCCTAAATTTTGTTAAAGATTTACATCTATCTGATCTTATCTGCTCCTTATCTGCTCTTTATCTTGACCCAAGTTTTAAAAGAATTTTCCCCAAAATTTCCGACTTGACGTTACGAAGTCGGATCTGTTTCTAAGTGGAGGAAATGACAAGTGCAAACACTTTCAGTGGGTTTCTTTTGTTGGGTCTTGAAAGAATGAAAAGAGAATTGTTCCTCTACAAAAAGTGTGAAGGAGCTTTGTGTCTTTTTTGGAAAGTAAAAAATGGAACGCCCCCCCCCCCCCCCCCCCCCCCCCCCCCCCCCCCCCCCCCCCCCCCCCCCCCCCCCCCCCCCCCCCCCCCCCCCCCCCCCCCCCCCCCCCCCCCCCCCCCCCCCCCCCCCCCCCCCCCCCCCCCCCCCCCCCCCCCCCCCCCCCCCCCCCCCCCCCCCCCCCCCCCCCCCCCCCCCCCCCCCCCCCCCCCCCCCCCCCCCCCCCCCCCCCCCCCCCCCCCCCCCCCCCCCCCCCCCCCCCCCCCCCCCCCCCCCCCCCCCCCCCCCCCCCCCCCCCCCCCCCCCCCCCCCCCCCCCCCCCCCCCCCCCCCCCCCCCCCCCCCCCCCCCCCCCCCCCCCCCCCCCCCCCCCCCCCCCCCCCCCCCCCCCCCCCCCCCCCCCCCCCCCCCCCCCCCCCCCCCCCCCCCCCCCCCCCCCCCCCCCCCCCCCCCCCCCCCCCCCCCCCCCCCCCCCCCCCCCCCCCCCCCCCCCCCCCCCCCCCCCCCCCCCCCCCCCCCCCCCCCCCCCCCCCCCCCCCCCCCCCCCCCCCCCCCCCCCCCCCCCCCCCCCCCCCCCCCCCCCCCCCCCCCCCCCCCCCCCCCCCCCCCCCCCCCCCCCCCCCCCCCCCCCCCCCCCCCCCCCCCCCCCCCCCCCCCCCCCCCCCCCCCCCCCCCCCCCCCCCCCCCCCCCCCCCCCCCCCCCCCCCCCCCCCCCCCCCCCCCCCCCCCCCCCCCCCCCCCCCCCCCCCCCCCCCCCCCCCCCCCCCCCCCCCCCCCCCCCCCCCCCCCCCCCCCCCCCCCCCCCCCCCCCCCCCCCCCCCCCCCCCCCCCCCCCCCCCCCCCCCCCCCCCCTTTTTTTTTTTTTTTTTTTTTTTTTTTTTTTTTTTTTTTTTTTTTTTTTTTTTTTTTTTTTTTTTTTTTTTTTTTTTTTTTTTTTTTTTTTTTTTTTTTTTTTTTTTTTTTTTTTTTTTTTTTTTTTTTTTTTTTTTTTTTTTTTTTTTTTTTTTTTTTTTTTTTTTTTTTTTTTTTTTTTTTTTTTTTTTTTTTTTTTTTTTTTTTTTTTTTTTTTTTTTTTTTTTTTTTTTTTTTTTTTTTTTTTTTTTTTTTTTTTTTTTTTTTTTTTTTTTTTTTTTTTTTTTTTTTTTTTTTTTTTTTTTTTTTTTTTTTTTTTTTTTTTTTTTTTTTTTTTTTTTTTTTTTTTTTTTTTTTTTTTTTTTTTTTTTTTTTTTTTTTTTTTTCCCAATCAACTACTCAAGTCGAGAATCGAGGCTAATATGAATGGAGATGAGATCAATGCAAATCAACCACCACCGTGCGTTTATCTTTTTTCACAAAACATCCGATTTGAATTCAATGCTACCATAATCTGTTCCTTATTCTAGCTTGCTAACGCAATCTTTTTTTTTTTTTTTTTTTTTTTTTTTTTTTTTTTTTTTTTTTTTTTTTTTTTTTGTCTTTATCATAGCTTGAAGCTAACCCTGTTCTCTTTATTCTAGCTATCGTAATCTTCTCCTCTTATCCTAGCGGCTGCATCTTGTCCTTTACCTACCTACTGTTCAATACCGTGAAGCAATGTCACTTAAGTCTCTTTATCTCAGCTGCCATAATTTTCTCCCTTTATCCTAGCCGCCATTCTAAGTCCTTTATCTTACCCAGATTCATTTCCCTTATTCTTAGCTACTGTAATTTCGTTTATACCTTTATCTCTTGAACTGATTTCGTTAAAAAAAAATAGATATCCTAACAAGAATCCTAACAAGAAAGCCCGTAAAAGTTTGGCAAGAGTACGGTAGTTTTAAAAAGTTTATAAGGAAACAGGTTATTTAAAAGACAGCTCTCTCTAACTAAAAGAGTATAAAAATGTCTCAATCTTCGGACTTTTCTCAGCTTCAATTTTTAGTTAGATTAGTTGCTAGATTCATTTTATCTATTTATCAAGAAGCAATCGATTTTATCAGCAAAACTGAAAACTGTACCTTTCTCATAGTATAGTGTTTCTCATAGTGAAACTTACTCTTTCTCATACAATTTACACAATTTTCCATAGGCAACTTGCAATTTTGGAGTTTGAATTTCTGACACATTGTGGAAATGAGAAATGAGGAGCAAAAAAGATTCCTAGATATCTCAGGAAAAATAAATCTTTTGTGTTCAATCTTCTACACGTGAAGCTTTGGCCAAAATCAGTTTAAAACAGAAAACAAATTTTTATCATAAATTGCTTTAGACCAGTCGGTTTTACTTGCTAAATTCCGATGGAAAATGAGGAAAACGATGCGCCGCTTCCGTTTGGATTGAATATTCGAATTGAGTCGACATACAAATGTGGCAATTAAACGAATTTAGAATTGAGACAGCGTGGGGAAAAGAAACAAGACTGAGGATACTGCAAAGTTTCAATTGTCGATTTCTTTCAACTTCAGAACATTAACAAGCATTCGTTAGCGGAAATCAATTATCCGTGTTTGTTTATTCGTAAAATTTCTTTAAAAGTTTCTTTACAAATTTCTTTTATTCCTTAAAAAGCCAACTATTAGATTGGTGCACAAATGTACGTTTTTAATGTACGTTGATGCACAAAATGCGTGGCCGTTTTAATGTACGCTGGTGCTTAAATGTATCGCTTAATTGGTACGTTGGTGCACAAGTGTACGGTAATGTACGCTGGTGCAAATATACGTTTTTATCGTACACTGGTGCACAAATGTACGTTTTTAATGTGTCGCTGATGCACAAATGCATGTTTTGGTCGTATTGACGCAACAAATCGCATGCTTTGATGTATCGCTGGTGCACAAATGTACGCTGGTGCACAAATGTGTAGTCGCTTTTAATGTACGTTGATGCACAAATGTACGTTTTTAATGTGCCAGCACAAATGTACGCTTTAAATGTGCGCTGCAGAACAAATGTACGTTTTATCGTACGCTGGTGCACAAATGCAGCGCTTTTAATGCACAGTTGGTGCACAAATTCGCACAAATTTTAAGATTGAGACAAAGTGAGAACGAATTTTTTCCTCAAATTTCTTTTTAAAACACACCACCAACAGGATTTTCATTTTAAACTATTGTAAGTGATTAATTGTTTCTAAGCAAAATGGCTTTTAAGAGATTTTTAGAAGTAGTTGTTTTTGTGGATTTTCAAAGGCCTGGAAGGCGAGCAACCTAAAACCGTCCTGATGCCGACTTTTTTCTGTCAGATTTCTAACCACTTTCTTCAATACAAACCTATTTTAGTGTAAAAAGTTTCAGTGCCAGGAGTCTGATTTGATTCCCATGAGTCTGTAAAATTTGAAAACTATCCTGTTTAGCAAGGTTTTTCTTTTAAAACAACAATTGAAAATTTTACATAGGACTACAAGCCAGACAATCACCCACAAGAAACCAGTAGTTTACTTTCACGAGATTTCCATTTCGATTGTTTAGCATTGTTTGGGGGGATGAGCATTGCTTAGCATTGTTTAGCATTTGGGGCATTGTCGCAGCATTGTTTAGCTTCAGGTTGTGTCTAGAACTTTCAGCCACCACCACCCCCGCAGATCCAGGTAGATCGAGCCACCGCCAGAGCCGAGAGACTGTATCCGAGAACAGCAACCGCCACAAGATGAGATCGATTCGTACGATTTCGCGGTGAATAAGGTATTAAGGTGCCGTTTCTAAACACAAAAATTAATTTGGTCCAATTTAAATCTTTTCTATAGCTGCTAATTCCCTCGTAGCCCTCTACAATTCAGCTATCTATCGGCCTCGTAGATTCATTATTAGAAATTTCTCAACCTTTAGAATCTTTTAGTTCTTTCTGGAAAGCAAAACTTGATAAGTGACTCTTCCAAGAGGGTGATGTCAAGCGCCGGTTTTCCCAGTGGGTAGTATTTTGGTTCCGCGAATCAAACTTCAGACAAGATACTGCCGTTGTAGGATAAGGGGAGAAGGGTTACGATAGCTGGAATCAAACTTAATCAACTCTCCCCGTTTTCTGATTCCCCAGCAATTCCAAATTACAACCCTTTTTGCGTCTATGCAATTTTTACGTTTCGGATTCTGCTACCAAACTCCTTCTCCTCGGTCGTGCAATTGTAAACTTCTTTTCCCATCATATACTTTCATTGCAGAGACATAACACGGTTCACGTTTTTGAGGAGGTCCGCTTCGAAATGATTGGCTATTGCAAAGGAAAAAATTCAGACATATTTGTTTGCCGCGTGCTCGAATTGTCGGGAAGCGTACGCAAATGAGAAAGATCTTCAAAAATCACGCGATGCATCACCTACAGCATGGACTATGGAAGTGGGTGACTCTTGCGCTGGAGCATCAGTTTTTTGTTTCTGCCAGTCAATCAGTGACTGAATGGCTTTGAAATGATGCTTCGATAAGGATTAACGGGCCTAAATAATCCTGAGAAATGGAGAGAGAAAAGTTCTCAAGTCAAATCCTTTCTCATTGCTATACTAGATTGGTTTTAACGGGAAGTAGAATTTTGTATCAACTAAGCTAAAAATTTTGGGGGCAGCTACTGATATAGAGTGATGCAGAGAGTGACGCCCATAGCAGTAAAAGTTGAATCAGAGCTTCCTGCTCGTTAGACCCCTAACCTTTGGAAACGCTGAAGGGCGTGCGTCAGATAGGAAACTAAAGGAAATTCATTCATCTATGTGGGACGTGTACCAGGCGGCGAGCGATCGTCTCCTACCAAGAACACCTCGCCAGTCATTCATATTACATTTTCTTTTGCTTTGTAGATTCTGCAAAAAGCTGTAAATTGGTACCTGGGGATTTTCAAAGTCCAGGAACTGATTGGCCATATTGATTTATCAAGTCTACCAATGAACAAAACAACAAACAACAACAAACAACCAAACAAACCTTTCAGAACAAACATCGCCCTTCGCCGCCTGCGGGATGCCAGCCTCGAGTGTACTCTTTCTATCCATTCGGGAGTCGAGCCAGAATTGGTAAGTAAAATAGGTACCATTTATTTCTTCAAACACTTAAACATCTAAAAATCAGAATCTTCAGCTCCCATCACCCACTTTCCCACTCGATCCATATGCTTTCATCACTTCATCAACGGACTTCCCCATTCGTCCCACTTATGTATTTTGTTGGATCGTGCGCGTAACTCCGATTCGGGATTAGGATCCGAGGCTTCTCCTAGATCACACGCAAGTTCCTGGACCCTGCCCGTCTTGCCCGGCGATGAAGCAGATCTTGATGAAGTGTTTTTCGGAAAGAAACCGGCTAAACGAGAAAAGCGTAGTGAATGCAGTCAATTGTACATCCCAAATATTCAAAATTAACATTCAAAATTACTTTATAAATCTTCTTTAGGACTCCTTTTAGTTAGAAAAATAAACGCAAAAACGATTGCACCGGCCTAAAATCGGGAACTCGGGGCCGCCTGCGTGGCAGGCGAGCATTCTACCATCGGAACCACCGGTGCTTGTTTTCCGGGATTGAAAGAGAGAGTTATGAAGCTTTGGTGTCAAAAAGAAGAACTAAAGGGATCATCTTTGATGATAATTCAGGGATGATGATGAAGAATTTGGTTTGTTCCCCTCGCCTTAAATTCAATGGCTGGTCATTCTTCAGGTTCTCCTCGTTCATCCCATTTCCTCGCCCTACAGCCCAAGCTCTGTTAAATGGAAAATGTTTCACGGACAATAAGGAGATGCTATCAACGAAGCTGTCGCTTGGAGGAAAACATCTAAAAGTTTTTCGACTTTAACGTAAGTTTTCTATTTCAATGTAATTGACATTGAATAGTACAAACAGTAATTAAATAAACTAACAGTACAAACAGTACTTAAAAGCGTAACTGACATCACTTTGTTTAAACAACGTGCGCCTTTTGGAATTTAGAGCCATCAGAAAGAGCTGAGTGGAAATAGCTGGGCGGGGAATGCCGAAATGAGCTGAAAAGATTGGTTAAAGACTTTCAAAAAAGAATATTATAATGGAAGAATAGCATTCCCAGCTGAAGTTGTCGTCCAAATCCTCCCTTTACTTTGACCCTCGGATCTGGCACTGGTTATACTCTGGGACCAGCTCTAGCGGTACGATGGGATATCTCATCATTTCAAAAAATCCGTTGTTCGTAGCAGCATGGGAGGGCTACTGTTCCTAAATCAACCAACCGATTCCGATTTTGGACTTTCGATTGCTTCGATCGAGCCGGACGAGTTTCGATGTCGGCCCTCGACTCCCAAATGGATGACCGCTCCGAGGATTTCAGCCCATTCCTGCTTTTCGTACATAAAGGTTGGTTTTGCTTACTGATTTGGGGCATTTTTTATTTTAAAATTGTAAGAATGTGGTACAGATTGTAAGCAGATATTTGCTGGTAAGAGCACTGCTTTTAAAATCCTTATTATATGATAGCTTGATTTTTCATATCAAATTCATTTTAGCTACTCTCTACTCCTGAAAACTTTTCCATTTTAATATAGAAAACCTCCCAATTTTTTGAGATTATGTACTTTTGATTCCAATTTGTAAAATTTAGACGCCAGACATTTTTCCTCAAAGGGCACACAATATTGACATTTTCAAATTCTCTAAACAGGCAAGACGGTTTCATTTTTGTTTGTGCCTACGAAAATCGATCGAGTGTTTCTCTCTGATTTTTCAGTGTTTATGGCACCAGCTTGAGCAATCGACAGACAGCGTTGCCACTATTTGATGATCCGAGTGAAATCACAGAAAAACCTGAGAATCGAGGAAATGAGTAAGGCAGAAAAATGAAAAGTTACTTGTGGAAAAAGAAAAGTTCTATGCACGCAATGAGTCTTTTGTTTTTGGGTTGGCTAAAAATTTGTTTTGATGGAAAGGGGTTAGGGTAACTTTTCATAGGGAGCTAAAAGCTTGCCGAAGTGTTGTGGGAAAAGTTCTGGAACTTTCTCAGAAAAGTTTCCTGAAACTTTCTGGAGCTTTTTAAAAGTTTCGGTCCGTTCTAAAAGTCTTGAACGTTCGAAAAAAGCTCCAGTAATGTTCTGGAAAAGTTTCTGAATTTCACTGGAAAAGTTCTGGAATGTTCCCAGGAAAAGTTTTCAACTGCTCTAGAGTAAAGTTCTGGAACGTCTTCTGGAAAAGTTCTTGAACGTTCTGGAAAGGTTCTGAACATTCTAGAAAAGTTTCCGAACTTTCTGGAGTTTCTAGAAAGTTTCTGAACAAACTTGTCACCGAATGGTCACGAAGTGAAATACTTTCTATTACAATATACAATATTCAACCAAAAGACTAATAAATCTTTCAAACTCTCAACCAAAACCAGACCAAAAGATCTTTGACCTGCTTCTTCCTTGTCTCGTTTAAAAATTCTGGATCTTTAAACAACCTTGATCCTCAAGATCTCCCATAAAACAACTCTTCTTGATCAAATTAACCAGATCAACATTCATTAATTTTGATTCTTTTCCAGCCTTCTCCATAATCATCTCTTCTCTCATCAAGGTCATCTTTGAGACGCTCATCTCCGCATTTTGTGAGTATGTTTCTTTAAAGAAATTTTGTGTTCATCAAAAACTGTGGTAATGCTAATTTTTTACAAAAAACGATTGAGCGGTTATCTGACTCAAAAATCTCATCTCAAAATCTTCAAAAAACAAAATGAGAGAAAGAGTGTTCAGACTGTTTAAATTCGAAGTGTTTTTTGAATGATTTTGATTTGGAAATCGGATTTGAAATGTGAAATTTTTAACTCAAAAGCTTAAAAGTTTGAAACCCGTGTTTCTGAGCTTTTTCCTCGTTCTGCTATCAATCGATACTTCCGATCCAAAAACGCACGCGGTTCTTTTAGCGTCGCTTTATCAATGAAAAGAGAAAGACATTCAAATTACAAATAAACACACCGTTTGAGTGATAAAAGCTTGCAGTGAGCTTTGGGTTTATTACGAAATTTGATATGGTTTAGAATAGTTGATGAATAATTTACGTGTGATAATGCTAAATAATCAATCTGATTTCTCCGGGCTAAGGTCTAGAAACTTGTAAGTCAGGACAGACTTAAGACTGCTGTCGGTGGCCCAATAGTAAGCCAGGGAAGATCCAGGACACGTTGTTTTGTCTAACTCTATAGTAAGCTAGGGAAGGTCTAGTAGTGCCAGGTTTAACTCTATAGTAAGCCAAGGCAGACCCAGGACTACTCAGGTTCAACCCAACAGTAAGCTAGGGTAGATCCAAGACTGCCAGGTCCAACTTCAGTGATCCAGGGAAGAGATTCAGGGATTGTTAGATCTAACTTTGTGAGTAAGCCAGGGCAGATCTAAGACTGCTGTAGGTCCGACCTGGGTAAACTAGGGTAGATCCAAGACTGCCAGGAAGTTCAACTTTACTGTAATCCAGGGCAGTGATCTAGAACTGTTATAGGTCTAAATCTTGCAGCAGGTATTCCAAGTGCTCTGTGGCCCAACCTACAGCCAAAACAAAAACCAGAAGCCATAAAAAGCCAGAAAACCTAATCCCTGTTTAATAAATGTTTCACCCACTGCCCCCCTAAACCCTGTAGACTATTTCTTACTATGTTATAATATACTGTTATAATGTAGTGTGTAGAACCACACTCTGGCTATGCAACCCATTTCAAAGAAATCTTCTCAACTCTGGTTCCAAGGTTTAAACAATCATCCCCTTTTTTCTCTTTTTTTTCCCCTTTTCCCCTTTTCCCAGTAACACTCTAAGTCACTGGATCAATATTGACGGAGAGTGGGGGGAAAAATCGAGAGCAGTAACTCTTCTGGAAAGCAGTCTCACCACCAAAAGGTTTTTTTTTTTTGTGTGGAAGTGGGGAACCTATGAAGAACTTGAGAGAAAGAATCGCCAGCAGAGAAAATGGGAGAAATGCGTCAGAGTGTTTTTGTATTGAAGTCGAAGATGGGTGAGGGGAGGGGAGGGGAGAGGAGGGGAGGGGTTGCCCCTCCCCATCACATCAGCTTGCCACTGCTTACCCCATTGAGTGTTTTCTTCCTTTACTCCTCCCATTTCATTCAACCTGTTGATCCGAAAAGTTACCGTGTCCTCTTATGCTTTTTTAGATTCCTTTGGATCTGGAAAATTTTGCTTATAAACTCAAGGTGTCTTGAAAACACATACAAAAATTCTTAATACTCTTATAACTTTTGACATAGAGCTTCATAGCAGAAACGGAAAGCAGATTCAGAATCGACGTTGAATTCTGTGTCGAATCGTATAAGTCGCATAGCATTTGACCGACCCAGCTAGAAAGTAAGATAGCTTTTCTTTTAAGGGGATCTCTAGTTTTGGGTCTTGATCTCTATTTTCGATAAATTTTAGAGTTAAAGGTATAGTTTTGAATGTTTTTTGAATGTTCAATTAAATCTATCATAGATTCTTAACTTACTCTGATGTTTTCAGAGTAGGGAGTTAGTTCAGCTTTACACGCTGACAAGGCTAGATAACTTTTCACAGACAGATCTTTTGCTTTTCCCTGTACAATCCTGGGCTTAAACCAGGTTTGCTACCTTGCCTATTCTTTACAATATTACAAAAAACTTCATAGATTAAGTATACCAGAAAGAGTGTTCTTTATTATGGAGCACAAAGAAGAGATTTACTGGGTAAGCGGCGCAAAGTTTCTATCGATTTTTCATCAATTTTTTTCATTTCTCTTTGGGTGCAACTTTTCAAAATAAACAAGCCAAATTTCTTAATTTTAATAGAGAATTTTCAGTTTCTTTTTTGATTAAAATCTCCCAAAACTAAACAAAAAAATGCTCTTTATCTGATCTTTACTTTAATCTTCGCAACTTCCCTCAAAATCCCTCCCTAACTTTTTGCGATAATCACTCAAACATTGAAACTTTTTTGACAGAACAATGAAATCTTCTTTCATCACCAAAACGTTTGCCCCCAATTCTTCCATGGATCTTTGTAGAAATGCTGCTCATAAATTTCCCCAAATCCTATTGTGAAAGCTATTTAAGTGAATGAAATAGGATAAACAATTTGGGTGAAAGGGAAAGAGATCTATGCTGGAAATTGATCGCTTTGCGACGAAAATGCAACGAATACAAGGTGAAGGCAATAGGAAATCGCTTTTTCAGCTTTGGTTAGATGTCCAGCTGCGATCTCGCAGCTTTTGATCCCATCGCTTATTTAGACATTCAGTGCTTTTTCTC